GTGCCACTCTCTGCCCACCCCCCTTCAGCAGCTACTCCATCCTAGCCAAGGTTCTCTAGCTTTACTTGTTGTTCATTGAGCAGTGGGCTGCTGCTGTCTCTGGAAGCCCCGGGCTACCAGAGGAAGGAGGAACCTTCCAGAGAGATGAGTCGGGTGACCTGCCCTGGGATGCCCCAACAATGTTTCAGCATGAACCTATGGAAGAGGGACAGATCCAGCTTTTCTGTTCTGTGGTCGTCTGGACAAACGGCAAGTGGTTGTTGCTGCCACTGCTGTTTTGCATTTCACCTGGATTTTATGTTCCGAAGCTAGCATAGATTATTTAAATCCGGAATTTGAGGACATTCTAAGTCTGCAGATTTGTGCCCTGTTATCTATGGCTTTGGCCAATGGCTTCAAGGGGCGGGGGTAGGTAACAGCAAGCAAAGCTGCACCCTGAGTTTGTTCAGAACTTATCTCAGCCCTGAGCTATTCCATGAAGTTCAGTGATGTCATCCAGCTGTTTGGACTCTTGTTTAGCTGGTTGTAATAGCTTGTATTTTCATCCACACAAGATAGCATTACAGAATTTCTCTCAGAGGCAATGTGGAGTAATGGTTAGAGTGCTGGACTGAGACCCAGGAGGTCCAGGTTCCAGTCACCACTTGGCTATGAAGCTTACTGGGTTACTTTGGGGCAGGCATTGACTCTCAGCCTTGCTGACCTCACAGGGCAGTTATAAAGATAAACTGGAGAGAAGGAAGCCCATGTAAGCTAAATTGCAAAAGTTAAAAGGAAGGTGAGATATAAATGTAACAATAAATAATGCATAAATATTTAGGGACCCTAAAACTCTAAATGTATCTCCTTGCTTCTCTGAGACTGCTTGAGCACTTGCTGTTGAAATGTCTGGAAATATGTCTACCAGCCATTTCAACAGAGGATAAGATAGTGACTGCATTAAGAAGCCACACTGTCAGGATCGGCGCCCCTGCAATTGCTCACAGAACCAGGAACGCCTTTGTTGGCACTTGCAGGAAACACCTGTGGAGCGATTGCACAGTGCAACCCGTAACCCTGAAGACCAGCATAAAAGGCTTCCCTGCACTGCTGCTCTTTGCCACAGTAATGCAGGTTGTTCTGGTTCTCCTTGTGCTCCGGACCTGGCATTGTTATGCGTCGCTCCAGATCGTTCCTGCCTTATTCAAGCCCCACTCGCTCGTTTGTACCTGCCCTGCCTTGCTCCCGCCTGCACCCTCTTCTGCTCTTCCTGCCTTTCCTCTGAGTCGCTCCCCTCCCTCGCTCCAGCCTGCTACAACCCTCGCAGCAACCTCTCTCTGGTGAACTGACCCTGGAACTGTGCCCTGACTCTCTCTGTGCCTGCAAAATCAGACTGCTCTTCTCCATGCCTTTGAGCCAGACTTGCCAACTTGCCTCTGGCCCACAGCAACCTCCAGACTCAGCTTGCGCTCGTGCCCTGGGCCTGGTTTTCTGCCCTTTCCTGCTGCCACCCACAGCCCAGCCCTCACACACACCACAGCATGGGTTATGCAAGCCACAATGATATTCAGTGTCAGGTTGCATGTGCAACCCCTGCTGAGTGCTATCTTTTCCTACATACCAGTAACCATGGGTTATGCAAGGGTTAAGCCACAGTTGCACAACCCCCGAATCTGCCATGAGTTAGGTGAGTGTTGTTTAATGCTCCTATAACCCACACTTGACAGCTTTGTGCAACTCAGCAACTCTAAGCACAGGCTGCATATTCCAAACAGTGGCCATCCGCAACCTGCAGGCACCCCAGGCTCTGCACAGGTTACATAACCCACAGCAGGTTGTCACAGCAAGGCAAACAGCCCCATGTGACATGTGTATCTTCAGAAGTGCACCCTATTACATAAAATGGGGTCCTCTCTACTATCTTAAAGGCAAAAATCAGAGTTATTGCTGTCTGGTTTAAAAGTATAGTAAAATCAGCAAAACAGAAATTTCTTGTAACTGCTCAACACCCGAAACTCCTTGCTGCAGACACATACATGAAGCAGCCTTCTAGAATCTTGCCATCCAGGACTTTGACATGCGACGTTAATCTTTGAATCTTTGCATTTTCTTAGATGTGTTTAAGTCCTTTACTCCAAGTCTCAAGTCTTGAGATTCGACTTGGTCTTGAAAGCCAAGTCCTTGTAAGACACTTTTGAGTCAAGTCTCAATTCTCTTCTCAGGTCTTAAGAAGGTCTCAGGTCTTTGTCAACTTTAACAAAAATGAAAGGAGGTGGGGGGGACTGGGGGGGATTGTAACCTCCCCCTTCAGTATTCCTATCAGCACTTCTCTCAGTGATACATTGAAGTCCTTTACTTCAACTACGATTTATTGAAACAAAGCTGTGCTGTTATTTGAATTTATCGAGATTGCAATTTAGAAAAATAATTTTCTCAGCACAACTGGCACTATTATTGTCCCTGGAAACACGGAGAACAGAGCAGAGGGAGCAGACAGGGGAGCAAAGGGCACTAAAAAGAGCAGAAGCCTTCCCCCTATACAGGTTGTCCCCAGGTTATAGACGAGTTCTGTTCCTGAGAATGTTCTTATATCAAATTTGTATGTAAGTCAAATCACATGAGTAAGCCACGTTTGTCTTAGTATATGCATATATTTTACCTTTCTAATGCATATAAAACACTTAAGAAGCACTTCCATATTCACTAAGACATCTTAAACACAATACAGCATTGTAATAATAAAGTAACTACAGATACTGAAGACAGAGAGAATCTGTATATGTGTAAGTATACAGTATTGTAAAAAAACAAAAGAAATAGTTCTTAAAACAGTTTAGAACAGTCTTTCAAATCAGTGCCTTATAGAGTTAAGCTAGGTCACTATCATTCTTGCATAGATTATAACAAGATCATGAGTATGAAGCATTTTGAGCACTTTGAAGTGCTTAGTTCTTTTTGTTTGTTCATTTTCCGAACATATTTCTGAGTTACTGTGCTAATAAACCGCAAGAATAATAAAATGCCACCATTCCAAACACATCCAAACCTAAAATAAAGGAGAAAATAATCAGAACTTCCTTTCTTTTTATAGAATCAGGAAATATTTGCAGGCCTATTGGCCACTTCGGAGAGGATCAAGCCTGCCAAATTCCACTCAGGTTCTGATTCTCCCTCTCTCTGCTGTCAATTCAGCATCATTTTCCCATTTGTAATATGGGCATCCTAATACTGATCTAATTCCCCCTTTAGCAATTGCCCTTGTAACCAGGCCGTCATCTGCTACAAGGCCATTTATGATGAGAAAAGGAAAATAGCTGTACAAACGATCCTTGAGGCCGACTTCAAGGAAGCGACTCCAGTAGTAACTCCCTCCCTTGCTCCAGCTGCACAATGAAATCCTGACTCTCCATCTCCATCATCATCAGTCAGTGCTTGGCTTAATGTTGTCTGATAGATTAGGAAGTTATGAATAAAAACAGGATTTCAAGCTTTAAAAGAACAATAAAAGAGAAGTAGGGAGATGTTACCTAGGAACCTCTGCTTCTGCCCTTGCCAGAAACTGTTTTGCCATGGTTCTGCTTCGTTCTTGAAGCCCTGCATGTGCCCCGAAGCACACTGGCTTGCGTAAGCTCTAACCCAGGGGTCCTCAGACTTTTTCAACAGGGGGCCAGTTGGGCGTGGGCTGCCAAGGCGGTGTGGGGTAGGGAGCAGGCGGGCGCACAGGGTGAGGCAGGGGCGCGCACGCGTGCAGAGATCCTTTTCTCTGAGCGAGTCCAAAACGATCTCTGCACGAGACAGCCGCCCCTGGGTGCATGCATGGCGAGGCGGTGGCTTGCTCGCGCAGAGATCCTTTTCTCGGAGCGAGTCCAAAACGATTTCCGCACGGAGAGTCCAAAACCTCTGTGGCGGGCCGGATAAATGGGCATGGGGGGCCGGATCTGGCCCGTGGGCCGTAGTTTGAGGACCCATGCTCTAACCAAAGTCATGGAACGAAAAGCTATGAATATCTCTAGAGAATGTCTATCTCTACAAAACCATGAATATCTCTAGGGAACTATGCACCCACTGATGCTAAGTGCATCACATAGTTTCCTAGAGATATTCATATAAGGTTTAGGGCAGTCTGTATTTCTTGAGCATGCAAGTGGAGAACTGCCTGTATTGCAGCCCCCTGCCCCCACCTCTTGTCCCTCCCTCCCACTGCCTCCTTCCTGCCAAAAAGCTACTCAGTTGTAAGAACAATAGAAATCTCGAATTGCTCCGGACTCAAGTCCAAGTCGAGTCACTCATGTGTCTCGAGTCGGACTTGGGAGCGAGCCACCTGACTCCCATTCCCAACACTGGAGGCAGCATTAATGAATTGCCATACGAGGTGGTCACAAAAAACGGTCTTCATATTTGCAGTCAAAACAGAAGGATGACAATATCTCTGGCCAGCAACATAAAACAGGAGATTTTACTAAAAGCCTAAATATCTAAAACCTAAAAATGTGTCATTAGCCATTGCAATGTAAAATGGTGTTTTAAAAAGAATCCAAGGCTAAAATTCTAAATTCTCCACCATGTTAGTGAATCCACTGTGATTAGCCAATTTAAGCCAAGAGGTGATGCTCGTCTTCAAAGTAGGGGCACGCCATTTCTGGTGGACATTTAGCATTACAGTACCGGGGGGCAGATACCTATCATCTAGCCTAGGGTACCGTCCCTAAACGTTTGTACGATTCGCTGCATCTGGAGTAGAGAGGTGCCCCGTTTTTCTAAAACTTCGAACGGAGACACGCTCAGGTTTCCCGCCCAGGAGCGCCCGCCCCTGCGGGCTCGGGCGACGCTGGGCCCTCCCGGCTGCGGCTGCGGCTCGCCCGCGGGGACGTCCGCTGCCGCCAGCACGAAAGCCCCCGGTCGGCGCCGCCCGGGCGAGCCCTTCCCCGCCCACCTCCCCCGCGTGAGCCACCCATCCGCCCTTGCGTGGCGGAAGAGCGGCGAAGGAGCCGGAGCCGGAGCCGGAGCCGGCCGGGCTGCAGCGGGAGCGGAGAGCGCCGGCTGCTCGCCTAGAGGCTGCCCGCGCCGCCCTCGCCGGCGCCATGGACGCCTTCTGCGGCTCCCGCTTCTGGGTAAGCCCCCGCGCGCCCCGGGAGCCCCGAGCCGCGCTTCCCGCCCCGCGGCGCCCGCAGCATCCCGCGGCAGGGGGGCGCCAGCCCGCCCGCCCGCCCGCCCGCCCGGGAGGTGCGGGGACCGCGCGGCTCTGCCGGCGCCCCCGGCAGACAAAGCCGGGCCGCGGCGGGGACGGGCGGAGCAGCCGAGCCAACTTTGACGGGATGGGGACGCGCCCTCTGCCAGGCTTGCGGGGAAGTTCTGCTTTCGGCGCCCGGGCGGCATCCCCAGCGCAGGCTCGGGAGTGCGGGCGTCTGCGGACCGGGGGCGGCCAGGGGGCGGCAGAGCCGCGAGGACACGTGCCCTGTCGCGCGGAGCAGCGGGGGCCGTGGAGGCGAGCGCGCGTGGCGCGGAGGGCTCGGCCGTGCCCGTCAGGCAGGCACAGCCTTGGGCCACCCGCGGCCGGTTTGACACGGGGACCATCGGCCAGGCAGCTCGGGCGTGCCGCTGCAAGATCGGAGGATGCGTTTCATGGGACCTGGAGTGCTCCCACGCGCCGCTTTCGCCAGGCCACTGCTCTGCCCCGTTCAGACAATGACCGCTTGAGTTTCCTCAGCACTTCTTCCATCTTTTTCTTACCGTAAGAAATGTGTTAATACACAGAGGGAAGATGTAGTATCTGGTGCTGTGAGCTCTGGAACTCCCGTCTGGAAACACGCCAGTGTTTGTCATCCCGAGGCCAAAGGTGGCGCATCATCTGTTAAGAATATAAGAAGCCCACTTCGTTTTCCACTTATCATTAAAGCAACAGCAACACATAAATGAAATGGCAGCATTTCTGCTATAGTGGTGGAATTAAGGGATTAAAAAAAACCTTCTGAGGACAGGCTCAAACTCTTGTCTGACAGAACACACTTATTTAAACAGTTTGCTTATTTAAAACTTTCCAGTACTGATCAATGGAATTAATAACTGGAATCAGTGAAGCAAAGTATTTGGAAACATGTTCATTTTTCAGGTGTGCGGCTGTATAACTGCAAACATAGTATCATCTCAGAGTGCATTGTCAAACTATGGAATTCACTTCCCCAAAGATGTGTTCAGCATAGATGGCTTTAGAAGGGGATTAGACGAATTCATTGGAGAAGGCTGCCCATGGCTTCCAGTCGTGATGATAACATTGTTGCCTTCTCCATTGTTGGCGGCAGTAGACTTCTCTCGTCTGCCAGTTGCTAGGGAGCATGAGCAAGTGGGTACTTTTGAATAGATGCCTTCCTTGCGGGCTTCCCACAAGGAGCTGTTTGGAGACCATGTGACTAGATAGCCCTTGGTGTGATACAGCATGTGGTTCTTCTGTCCTCCGTCACTCCTTGCTACAAATACAGATGTGCTGACTTCCGGGATGATTGTCTTCATCAGGGTGGAGGAGGCTACTCCCTGGGAGTACAGATTAACTGTTGCAAACTGACTAGACAGGTATTTTCCGAACTCTTGCCATTAAACTATCATGCTCAATAAAACCAGTTCAGGTTTGAACATGGTATTTGCTGGAGGCGCTTTGGCCATGTGACTGTTTTGTGGTGGGTGGAATTTCACTCAGTTGCGCACTGGATGGATGCCTCTGTTCGATTCGGAGATGCTGCTCTCTGGCCAGTTTCCTGGGGAAAGCCGACAGTGGGCCATTGCATAGGTGGCCTCATCATTCAGCCACAGGAATAAAAGGATCTTTAGTAAAGGTGCTCCCCTCAGTACCCGAGAGTAAACCTGATTAAACCCAGCAGCACTCATTTCTGAGTATTTTAATATTATTTATCCATTCATTTATGCATTTACTTATTGCACATCTACACAACCCAACAACTAACATTCTCTGGGTAGATTATGAACAGTTAAAGAACTGGTTTAAATACAAAATACAATATAATATTTAAAAGGAAACAATGTAATAGGACAAGCAGGATATGAATAAAAAAAGGTCTTACATATCAAGAAGTGAGTCTTAAAAATGCCTGGGGGGAAGACAGTCCTTTGTCTGGTGCCAAAAGATAAAAAGATAAGAGCATGGGTGCCAGGTGAACCTCTTTGAGGGGTGGTACCACTGTGAAGGCCTTCTCACCTGTCAAGCTTCCTTAGGCTTCTGAAGATGACCTTGAGCAGTTTTTTGTGTGTGGGGGGGGAGATGTTCCCAGATGTTCCAGTGAGCTGCATAGACATTTGGAGGGTTGCACTGGCAGCTACCTTGTGCCCCAGTGAAGTGAAGGCGGCATTGAAACAGATCCCAGAAGGTTGACTCTTCGCTCTAAATAGGTCCGCAAAAGTTACTGCTCTGCACCTTTGTTGCTAGCCTGCTGGAGACTGGCCCAGGAGGAACACGTGGCTGCATTTCTGGCCTGGGTGAGGTGGAAGAGAGCTCCTTCTAGAAGCCAGTTTGGTTTCTTCCCTGGATGTAGAGGAGGCCATCCCCCTCACTCACTTGCATGCACTTCCCAGCTGCTGACAACTCAGGCTTAATACAAGGGTGTGTTAAGGCTGAATATTGTGCACAGAAGCCAATTTTCTTGTGTTCAATGAGCAAGTATGGGCCACCGGTCTGTAGAAGTAAATTCACTATATGTTGTCACAGGAAGATTCTACAATCCCAGAATGATTTTTTTAAAATAAAGCAATTGATAAAGTAGTGCTAGCATGGCTTACCTATATTTTCAGGTAGTTTCCTCGGTGCTCTCATAGTTGTTTCTTCAAACGGCATGGGGGATTCCTCCTTAAAACCAAAGTATTTATCTTAGAAGATGTCCGGTGGGGGGCCACAAAGAATCTGCTATTAAAATAAGTATGTCAAATAGACATAATGCAGTTGCTGTAGTGCCTGGGTTTAGCTGTCACACAGAGCCAGGTGAGGAGGCGTACCTTTTTCCAGACTGTATAGGCATGAGACTTCTCATGGGAAGCTCCACTCCACACACACTACATCTGGAACATCAAATTGGGCATGTAGGTTGCATGTTCTGCATTTCTTGGGATTCTCAAGGAGACGAGCAGCAGAATAATTAGGGCACTTATGTGATGCTCAAGCCTCTTGTTTGTCTACTGCAGCCATATCAGCATCCTTCAGCAGTGCTTTAGATACTTTTGTAAATCCAGGTAGGATGCAATATGAACTCCCATCCCTGCAGCATTGTTACTTTAATTAAAATTGGACACCTCTATGGCTGCTTTTGATGTACAGATAAACACAGGTTTGGAGATCAGTTAGTCGACCATGTGCATAGTGTGTAGTCTGGCCCTCGACCTGGCTCCTGGGTTAACTGGAATCCTGTGCTCCGGTATGCTGTGCACGAATGTAAGGCTTTTGAGTGGGAGTGTGTGTATCTACGAAACTCTATATGGAACTGTAATCAGTGCAGGAGATGGTCCCAGTCTTGGCTTTCATGGATGGGATGGAAGGAAGACTGCCATGCCTCTCCCACAATGTTCCCCATTCTTCCTGTTTTCCTCCTTGCTCCTTGTAGGCGCTTGCCAGTAGAACCAGTAGATCCATTATGCCAGTGCTCCTCTTTGCTGTGATGGCTCAATGGGATTTTGCAGCCATCCTCTGCCATTCAGCAGGTGTAACTCCTGCAATTTACTACCCATTCTTTGAGGGATGTGTAGCATACACACTTCTTGGGTATGTACTGCCTGCTGAAGCCTTCCAACAGAAGGTGAGAACTTCAAAGACTTTGATACTTTCATCAAAACATTGGATGAGGGGGAATATGCACACCAGTTTCATGTCATGCTTATTTGGAAGGATGCCAGAATTCATCTACTTAACAAGGAACTGATCTGAGCCTCCAAGTTTTAATTTAATAATTAGATTTAATAATTAGATTTTCTTTCCATACTCCATCCAGTTAATTTCAGGGTAGTATACAAGGTTTTCCTGCCCCTTTATTCTCACAACAACCCTGTGAGGTATGGAAGGCTGAGAGGTGGTAGCAAATTCAAGGTCATCCGGTCAGCTTCATGGCTGAGTGGAGATTTGAACCCGATTTGCTTTGATCCAAGTCCAGCACTCTTACCTGCTAAACCATCCAGGTTCTTAAGCTGGATCCTGAGCCACTGACTCAGGTACTCTCCTTATGTGTTTAAGATGACATTGATAGCTGTATTATAATTGGTTTAATGCACATATAACTGCACTGTGGCAAGAGTATTTTTCAGGTCAAGCAGAGTCATAAAAGTGATACAGTCTTTTGAATTTGGATGAACACTTTTTATGCACAAGATTTAAACTTTTCCCCAGAGTTTGTATTCTAAACTTGGAAGGGAAATAGAGTTGGTAGCACACAACCTGGTACTCTTCAAATGTTTTGGATTTCAGCCCCAATCAGCCCTTGTCAATGTGGCCTGTGGTCAGGACTACTGGAGTTGCAGTCCCAAACATCTGGAGGGCACCAGGTTGGGGAAGATGGTGCCAGAGAGAATTCACCAATATTTCAAAGATAAAGGCAATAATTCTAGATGAGTCATGTGAAGTTGCCAATATTACAATCAGGGCATACCGTAGCATATATGACCCTTAAGTGAGCTATAATATGCCTGTGCATTAAGGGCCCCCTCCCCCCCAAAAAAACCTTTTGTTCTTGGGAATGTTTTCAAACCTCATTCCAAATAAAGGTTTGTTGGAATTTAGGATGCTCCTCAGATATACCACCCATCTGTGTTAGGGATGTCCAGTTCCAAGGATCTGCCACGATTCTTTCTTAGCTTATAAATGTCATGGGGTGTGATGCAAAGCAACGAAGAGCACACGCAAGGAACGTATATAGGTGTACTGGAGCAGTGTATGTTATGTGCACTCATGACAACCGTAAATTGTGGTGCAGCTTTGCCTCCTGGCCCCTCTGGGGCATGCTGGGCGTTGTAGGATTTCTTTTGTGTCTAAGCTTATATACAGTTGCGCCTTGAAATATTGTAAGGGGAATTGCATTAGAAAGTGTAACAGAAGAGGCAACAGGTTTGAGTCCCCGTTGAATCA